AATACTCACTTTACGAATATTCACTCCACCTTTTCCAATGACAAACTTATGAAACTGCTTGAAAATAGGAACCTCTAAGACATAGTTATTTTCATTCAGTTCTTTCACTAATTTTGTTAAATATTTATGGCACTTATCTACGTCTTCTTTGGGCCCTCTAATTTTCACTATGTCTCCTTTCTCACCTGGAAACAAAGAATTCGTTTAACTATCTTTTTTAACTTTCCTACATTCTCGTTTTGATACACGCTACCTATAACAGAACTTTTCTACAATTACAATATTTATACCTTTATATAGAAGATATGAATTTCAAAAACATGATTTTATGTACCATAATTTTTCAATTAATCTTCAAAATTACGATCTCTTATATTTAATAAATAAAACTTTACTACAATACAAAATGATAAATATGACCTGCACTCTAAAAATGCACACTGAGCTCTCATTGGCAATATGCCAACAAGGGCCGAGGTCTTTCAAATGTTTGTACCTGGCATAAATCCGAGTTCTAGTTATTGCATATATCACGCTACATACCTGGACCAGGAATAGTAATCTGTACTTGATTAAACTTATCTCTAATTTCTTTAATATTATCTCCTTTATTTCCGATAATACTAGGATAATAACGATGATCTATTATCACATCCTTCTCTTTTTCATTTTCCAGTTTTCTCACCATTTCTACTAATTCCTATAATAAATTAGAATTAGAAATAGTTAAAAGATATGAAGTTTAGATTATGTAGTATTTATAGCATATAAAATAAGTAAAACGAACCGTTTGAGCTTTGAGCACACCAGCAAGGTTTCCTTCAATACGAATTACATTGCTACCATCATTTTCGGAAATATTAATTACAACACCTGTTACTTCTTTTACACGATTCACTGTTAAAAAATGAAATATTATAATTAAAATTTTAGTATATAATAATTAAATTACATATACAAAGACTTACCATTACATCCATTCTTTCCAATAATATGTTTATAAAACCTAGGATCAACGTTTAATTCTGTAAAAGTGAGTTTCGATATAAGATCAGTAGCCATTAATTGAAGTTCGTTTTGTGCTTTTTCTACTTCTTCGGGAGGACCTTCGATCTTGATTTTATCTTCTTTTCCAGTGAATTCTACGTTCACTTTTGGCATTTCTTGTGTAATACGTTTAATATTAACTCCCTTTCGTCCTATTATATACTTATGAATCCAAACGGGTGCTTTCACTACAGCCGTGCGAACACTGTTCGCTTTCTCATATACTTTGTTCAATGCTACAATATTAAATTAATAAACACTAATGTATATATGAATATATATTTTTTAAGAATTATAGATAAACAATCACCTTGACCAAGCTTCTCTTGAGGTCCACGAAGAGTTATAGTTCCTGTAGGGGAATCTGATGCAGGCATTTCTACACTTACACCAGTTACTTGTAATATTTCTGCTATTGTACTACCACGTGGACCAATAACATATTTGTGCTGAGATTTTGGAACTTCAACCGACACTGTTGTACACCTTTTTTCCTAAATCAAAAATTCAAGTTTAATTCTGAAACATATAAAAACTATTTTCCATTGAATAATAATTTTTATTCAAATACACATACCATGTCTCTATATATGGCTTCAATTTTTTGTGTTGCTGCTAGGACACCTTCTTTTTCACCAGCAATAGTGATTTCATCTTCTTGCACAGAAGCAGGGGGAATATTAATTCGAGCACCAGTTTCTGCCATCATGGCATTGAGATTCTCATTGTGTGCACCATGTATAAAGGGGTGATATATTTTTGGCACAGATATTCTTTCAAATGCTTTTCTTGACTAATAGAAACCATTATATATTACTTTTACAGCACATTATAATTTAATAAGAAAATAGTACATTTACTTACCTGTTCATCTGAAATAACTCTAATTTCATGCTCAGCCTTCTCTATTCCTTCTTTTGTTCCGGTAATTGTTATTATATCTGACTGATCTTGCACAGATGGAACAGTTATTTTAGTTGCAGTTGTTTTTTCTAGGTCTTTAAGACGTTGTCCCAGTTTTCCAAGAATCCAACGATGATGGTCCTTAGGAATGCTAATTTGTTTGTTTGCCTATAGTAACCAGTTGACAATTTAAAATATTTATAAAGGATTGTTTTAGCAACCATTGTAAGGTTGTAATATTATATCTATCTGTAAAACTAAACCTGAGTCTGAAATGTTGTTAAAATTCGACGCTTAGCTTCCAACACTTGATTCTGTTTACCAGTTATTAGGAATGTTAGAGATAGATCTTTTGATGTTGCTATTTCAATGATAGTATTTGTCTCTTTCATTATTGTTTTACATGTACGTATGGATTCACGTTCACCAAATTTGTCACTATGATCAAATTTGCGTTCTTCCGCAGGTACACGAAACATCTAAGTGCAATAAACAGTAGCAGTAAAATTAGAAAATTATAAAAAATGTATAAACATATTATATTCAAGTAATTTATACCTGTGTAATAGTTACACGTCCAAGTTGCAAATTATGGTTTATAGAGAAAATATTTAATTTTCCTGAACTTGAACTAGCTGACTCAGGAAGAACTGGGAATGTCTCATCATAAGTAGGTGGCTCATAGGCCGTTCCCTCTTCCATTACTGACTGCTGCTGCATGATGGGGTTGTCCTGTTTCGTGCCAAGTCCTTACAGTAGCACTGTAATAAGGTATTAAATGGAACTTATCTCTTTAAAATGACATATAGCACAACAAATAATATTCATTAAGTGAGGCTTCAATTTTTAAACCTGAAATACATAAATTTAACATAACTGATTTAAAACACAAGG